CACGAGTCAAAATTTTGTCTTGCCATTCAACTTTCCCATCGTTCATGAAGTATCAAGTCAGCTGGTCCCGCACAGCCAAAGCAGTTCTGAAACACAACATCGTACAATATCTGAGCATGTATAGAATATTAGCTCTGATCAGTTTCAAGTAGGGTATTGGAAAATTTCAAGTCCCAATATTGCGAACTTGTTTTCTTCGGTCTATTTTGATGCAAAAAATTACCTTGCGGGGCGAAGTCCCACGCCAGCTAGGTCTCTCAGCCCTGGCTGCCCACTCCTGTCATTCCTCCACTGCCCATCTATGAGTTTTCCTTCCCAGTCTTCATGATCTGTATAGCCTGGAGGGCTGTATGCTGGTCTGGAGTGCGCAGAGTCTTTGAGAAGAAAGTTGTGCAGTGTGACACATGCCTTCACAACGCTTTCTGTAATCTCTTCGCACGCCTTAAATGCTCGCCTCGAAATTCGTCACCATGATCCCGAAGGAATTTTCAATGAGGCGTCTGGTACGACTGAGGCGGTAGTTGAAAGTGGCCCTCTTCAGGTACTCCTGGTACTGTGCAGGGTCACTCCTGTACTTCTGTAGATCTATAGTAAGCCCATAAGATTAATATTAAAATGAAGAGAAAAATAAAATGACAACGACAATGAAGTGTGGTAATTGTTGTGTACATCCTTTGCTCTTACCGTCCCTATTGAACAGGTATCCTTTCAACTCTGTCGTCCTTCTAAAGCCATTACCTCATTATAATTAACACTGTGGTATTACTGAATAGATGAATGTATAGCAAGTGCAGTTGCACATCTTTCACATCTTTCACAAACTGTACCAGAGCTGACTTTGGTCAGTTAACGCTTTGGGCGAACGGCTCGTTCAACCATGGTGCGTTGGATTCCTTGTTCAAGAAAACAAATTTAGGACAAAGGTGTCTGCCCCGTGCTTGGTTCCCAGCATTGAAGTGAACTGTTCTGCGTTACATTCAGGATTCACCAATAGATCTACAAACAGTGTGAGATAATGGCACTGCAGAAAAAAATGTAGGGGTAGGCAAATAGTGGTTTGAATCGAATAGTGCTGCATCATTCAATACCTCCACGGTGCAAAGGAGAGTCACAATAGGTGGTTCTCTTAACAAAGTTGATGCTACGGATGGCACTGCTATTCGATTCGAAGCACTATTAGCACACCCCTAAAAAAATACAGTATCATTAAAAATTGAACTCACTTGCTCTGTGCACAGCGCAGATTATGGGTGACTTTATTGGGGAATGAAAGTGCTCCTAACAATAAATCATGATTATATTCTATTGTTTCTTGGACACTAACGTCAGGCTGCTTAGTTTATAGATGGCAATGCGTGACTTACCGCGACGGGGATATGGCCTCATGAGGAATGTCTTCAGCGGAAATGCCTCGTCCCCCACCATAAGATAGGGTACTGCACCTGCTGAACCTACACTTGAAGGGGGTGGGATGCCGCACTGACTTTCGGTAAAAACTGTTCGAAGTGGTGATCTCAAAGAAATGCCCCCCTCACTTTCACCACCGTAGTGGCACAGGTCAACATATGTGAATCTGAAATGAAGCAGCAAGGAATGAATGAACACACTAAGCCAACTGTAAAGTTTTGAAAGTAAACATTTGGCGGAAATCTGCTTGGTTAGGTAAGAACAATTAGAAGAGGAGGAAGGAACGCCAACCAAAAATAAAAAGGAGCCCAACGTTTCGAAACCTGCTTGGTTTCTTCTTCAGGGGCGACTGTGTGCGCGAGGAGCAAGTGGTCTTGTTTTACGGCAGTGGACGTGATGTTTTCGCGATCATAATGTGGCTGAGCCCGCTGACGTAGGCGGACGGTAAAGCGCCAAGCGACCAATTGATGTTTTGCGGTGTGGTTTGGATGTGATATGACTCGACGAAGAGCCTTTGCCGGGAATTGGTCTCAATGCCGAGAATGCGTGTGTTGTAGAAGTCAATGCGGTGGTCATTTGAGTCACTGTGTTCCGCAACCGCGCTGCGCTCATGATCGAATTTTCGCACCTCGGTTTTGTGCTGGCGAAGTCTTTCTTTAAAGTTATTGGTTTCGCCAATGTATGTGGCAGGGCAATCCGCACAAGGAATCTGGTAAATAACGCCTTGCGCTCTTTCCTTGGCGGGACGGTCTTTTGGCCGGGGCATCAGGTGTCCAAGCGTTGACACTGGTTTGTGGGACGTCTGGATGCCTTCTTTTGCCAGCACACGCGCGAGCTGGTTTCCTTTATGTAAGGGACGCAGATACGCGTGGTTGAGCGGGGATGTGCGATTTCTTGTCGTCGTCGTCAACAGCATAACCTGCCACGAGAAGAGATAGCAGCTCTCCGGGAGCTTCGAGGAGACACAAACATCATGATTCTACCCGCGGACAAAGGAAATTCGACTGTGGTCCTTGACCGGGATGTCTACGAGAACAAGATTCGGGACCTTCTTGACAGCTCTGCCTATCAAAAGCTCAGGAAAGACCCGACATCACAAGTTCAGACAAAACCGAACAATATCCTTTCTGAAATTTTTAAGAAGCACCCTGACGCGCGGAGCCTTCATCTGCGGCTTCTGTGCAGGAATGGGTTTGCTCCCGGTTTCTACGGTCTTCCTAAGGTTCATAAGCCTAACGTCCCTCTCCGGCCGATCGTGGATTTCACAACCTCACCACTTCGGGGATTATCGAACTACCTCCACAGCACTCTCTCTCCTCTCGTTGGAAACGCAGCGACCTATGTGCGGAACACCCGGCACTTTGTGGAACAGGTTACGCAACTAAAGGTAAACGATGACGACAGCCTGGTGTCGTTCGACGTCGGCTCGCTCTTCACCAGCGTGCCGGTTCCCCTGGCAGTCGCCACAACCAGAGCTGCCCTCGAGGGAGACAAGAAGCTGAGCGAACGGACGAGCCTTACGGTGGACGAACTGTGCCGCCTGCTGGAGTTCTGCCTGGGGAGCACCTACTTCAGCTTTAAAGGAGAATTCTTCAAGCAGACCAGCGGAACCGCAATGGGTGCATCCATCTCCGTCACCACGGCCAACCTGACAATGAAAGCCATTGAACAACGCGCTGCAGTCTTTCACTGCACGCCTTAAAGCGTTTTTACGGTATGTCGACGATTGCGTCTGCATTATGAAGAAGTCAGAAGTGAACAACTTTTTGGCACACCTCAACTCCATCGAGCAGGCCATCCAGTTCACCGTTGAAACTGAAAAGAACGACGCCCTGCCGTTTCTTGACGTGCTGGTCAAAAGACAAAAAGATCAATTGGAATTCACAGTGTACAGAAAACCGACACACACTGGGCGCTATCTCCGATTTGACTCAAACCACCCTGCGAGCTACAAGGCGTCGGTCGTCCAGGCACTCCTGTGGGGTACTTATGAAAAGTATGCATATTTGCCTCATTGTAATCCGGAAGGCACCCGAATGTTCTACCGCCATGCACGGCCGAGCACCCCACCACAAAGTCACGAGCAAGCGCCCACTCAAAATTTGAAGATAAACATATGGAACAAGTCTATATCGGCGCTTCTTAGGTCAGTGCGAGACATGGTCAGTGCATGTTTTACAAATGTAAAAGTCGGGGTTGGGGGTGGGGGGGGGGGGGGGGGCACTTAGTAGTAATGGGTGGATGCTCAGTATTTTATAATAGTTGTAATCATGTTTTATATTTATTATAGATGAACCTTTTTGTGTGGTCTCGTGAAAGCCGTACTACAGGTAGGTGTTCCACTGTACTGTATTATAGCGAATTTGTTTCATTACACTCGCGCAGTGTGGTGAAAGACACTGTGAGGGCACAGGTGCAGTGAAACGAATTCACTATTGCAGTGTTGCATTCAGCAGCAAAATGCCTTAGTTTAGTCTGCTTTACAATGCACTGTTGACGAGGTATTGTGCTTTTTATGGGCACTCATGATAAACCACTGGTTGAACCTGAGCAATATCTCTTCCCAGTATGTCTGCAGAGAGAAACTTTACCTGTAGTGTGCATCACATGAAGCAAGAAGAACAACACTGAATGTTTTCTTGTAGTTGAGATTTCTCGAGCCGGTGTTGTCTGGGCATTCTATGTTAATGTACTTCCCATCACTACTTCCGATGCAGTTCGGGAAGTTCCAATACAGCTCCATGTCTGCTGCAATCTAAAATAGTTATATACAGTTCAATACAATTTTAGAATAATGAAAAACTTGTTACCCAAACAGTGAACTCTGTGTGATGTATGAAATAAAAAATTGTGCGATAATCACACAATGTCATGCGTTTAGACAGCGCCAGCAAGGTCGGGATGTGTTTTCCTGCCAAAATTCCCGGGGAAACTGAATTGCCGCATAGGTCACGTCACGTCAAGTTTTCTGCTAAATTTAGTGGGGAACCTGTATTTGTCTAGGTCCCGTGACATGAGGTCATGTCACATCAATTTTCCCGCAAAATTTAGTAGGGAAACTGAATTTGTCCGTAGGTCACATAACGTCAATTTTGTCGCTAAATCTAGCAGGGAAACTGAATAGGTACATAGGTCATGTGACATATTTTTCCAATAATTTTAGCAAGGAGGCTGAATATGTGCGTGGGCATGGAAGGATTGCTCGCACAAGTGAATGAAAACGCAGCCGACAAAAAGGACTGTCATTTATGAGCTTGGAGGCAGAACATGCTCAACGATTTCGAAAATCAGTCTACGTCGCCCATTTTGTTGTACTTTGTAAATGGTATACATAAATATGTAGTGCCAAGTCTTTGGTTCCTACATATTTGGTGACCCAGACGGATCACGTCTGGGTCACCAAATTGGTGCATAGGTCACAAGATGTCAATTTTGCCTCTAAATTAAGCGGGAAAATTTGTCATTCACACTCACGCTTTTGGAAAACAGGGGAACGAGCCACTAACAGCTGCCACTGTAAAATATTTTTGTGCTCAGTTTTTAGTTACTTTGAACTAACTTTGCTTTACAGAAACTAGTTTATTCACCTTCTTCCACTCCCTAGCGCACTGGGGAAATAGCAGGTAAAGAGGCTGAAGGCTTTCCCAAATCGCAGCAGTTGTTTGCCTGATGATCACAGCTGCAGTTGACCGACCGATGAGAAAATTGTACGAGAGGCTGCGGAAGGTGTCACCATTGGCAAGAAACCTGAAATGACAAACATACATGCCATATATATCTGGAATTACACTAAGAACATTCTCGGCTGCTAGTTATGTGCAACAGCATTGCTTTGGAAAAAAAAAAAAAATCCCCCTACCTTTGTGGATAATGGGTAACATACCTTGAGGAGCATTTATGGTAAGTCAAACTAAAGGAGCTTTGATGTTAAGTGCAGCTCCAGTGAGCATGATAGACCCCTTTCAAAACTGCCCACGATTTGTATCATGTTTCAGTATAACTTGGAAAATAGCAGAAGCTAAGACCCTGGCGACCCAATCAGAGCGTGAAGTTGAGGCGTGTGACAGGATATCCGGAGTGTACTCGTCCCATGCAAAGTTGTCCAGTGCTCCACTCTGCCACTCTGATTGCCTGATGAGGGCTATTGCTTTCGTTCTTTGATGAGTTGTGCTGAAACTAGATTGTTGAATCTGCTGCTTATATGTAGCAACATTTTGCAAACACCCCTCAAGGCCGCACATGGGGTGCTGTTGTATACCTCCACCCCTCCTGTTTACAGCCATGCTTCTTGACTTCACTCCCTCTCGCCAACAGCTTCGGCAGGTCTACGAGAGCGCAATGCCTGTCAGCACCAACTGAGCTTCTGGGAAGGGCGTGTTGTCTCAATTTGTCCGACTTCGGGCAACATTTTCAAGCGGACATTGGATACGAGTGCTCCATCAGCATTTGGCATGGATGTGTCCAAGCATGTTGTGGAGACGAGTGCTGCGTCAAGATCAAACATGCTTCACAGCCAAAAATGCCGACCTTCAGCATATATTCATATATATATTCATACAAATATTCATATATTCATACAAAGACTCTACTTGGAGATTTGTTTGCATTCTTATGAACACTGCAGAGAAGCTCCAATCGCCTTTTTCTGATGTTGAGGTGAAGCCAACTTTAGGGGTGGAATGTAACCATCAATGCACAAAACAATGTTTGCTCATATGTGCCGTAGTAAACACTGCAGAGAAGATGAAACCTCAGGAAAGGGATAACTTACGAATTGGGGTTCAACGTGTTCAGTTTATACCAATGAATCCGAGCTGTCTTTTTCTTTTATTCAGGAGAATAAAAAAACCTTGACTGGGAGCTGCTGGTTAAATAGAAGTAAAAAAAAAAAAAAGCTTCATGGGAATATTTTTTTTAATGTACAACTTTATTTTTGGTGATTTATAGGACACCACCCACACTGAACTATTCATGAGGTTGCTTTTTGTGTGTGTGTGTGTGTGTGTGTGTGTGTGTGTGTGTGTATGCATGCGTGCGTGCGCGCGCGCGCGCACTCCTCTTATTTTCTTTTCTTTTTGGTAATGACATGGTTTTATAATTATTTAGGTCATGCATATGTTCCCTAGAGGATGGGGAATGAAACTCCTGTGTTGTTTTCTTAAACATAAGCCCCGATAAAGGCTGCAATCTTCCGGATGCCGAAAATAGTCCCCGAGAAACACAAATGTGAGACGAAATAAATACCAATTAAAACAGATTTAAAATAAAAAAAAACTAAACCCGAAAACATGGAATTCGATTAATTGCACATCTCAAGCCCAATCGAGGGTATCTCAAGCAATCTCACTGTTCGTCAAAAACATTCTGCACCAGTGACGAGCGGATTGTGCAGACTTTATGGAAATTTGGTGGAAGATATCAGTTAAATCTGATACAAAATTACCAAGGACTGTAAGCTAAGGCATAAGAGGAAATTACAGGTTTGTGAAACTTGATATCTAACTTGATTATTACTGCATATATATCAAGATGATATTTCAAATGGGGTTGAAGTTTTTGCTTCGAGAGCTTTTTGTCATATCTGGGTGTCGGGCTCAAGCTCGGTTACGTACTCCGAATACTTTTCGTAAGTTGGGTGGAGAAAAACGAGACCAGTCACAAGGATATGCTATAACGGATCTGGCACTACGGCGCATGTGGGTAGATTTCCCTCTAGGTATCAATAAATGCATCTTTTGGTAGCTAGCTATAGGAAAGGTGTTTTATGGTTATTGTGTTGCCATTTTCTTCTGTTCATTGGATTCTGCTAATAATCACATAACTGCTCCCAGCCCACTGCGGAATTTATTTTTTCACTCGCGCTCATTCAGTTCGTCATTTAACCCACATAGCTTTAGCGTTATTTTCAATATTTCGATTTTCTCACTTAAGTTTTATCCAATTAGTACAATTAATTTATGAGTCTAAATTAACTACAAACTAATTATTGCTCTCACCTTAGCGTGATAGCCAGCCGATCGTGCGGCGAGATGGGTTCCCGAAACGGCGTCACTTTGCGCTCGATCTTGGGCCCCACAAGTCCGAGTAATGTGTCGAATGTGCTTGGCGGCATTCGAAGAAAGCTGCAAGAGAGGTAACAAACATCAGTTATTAAGTATACATGGTGAACACTTGTCGCAACCAATTCAATCACTCACTCTCGAAAGTAGCCTTCGTCTCTGGCGCGCAGCCGGGGCAGCAAAGCGCTGGCCTGTCCCTCGGTGTTTCGGAAGCGCCAACTAGGCCGGACCCAGAACCGGCTCCTCCTTGCCTTCCGAGCGCGGCGACGTCGCAAAATTAAAGTGCAGGCTAGGAGGATTACATTGATGCTGATCACCAGGTCATCATTGACACCCGCCATATGGGCAGCGAGCGCACTTTCGAGGCTGCTCTAAGCAAAAGATGGGAGCCGAAACGGAAGAAACTAACGAAGAGCAGACGACGAAAGCGCGGGAAATCCGGCGGAGGCAGCGGAGGCGCGAGATCCAGTTCTGTCACGTGACTATAAAACGCCGGCAAAACCAAGCAAAACGGAGGCCAATGTGGACTCCTCGCGTTGGGACGCCGGACGGCGGTGCCGCCCGGCGGCGCCGTTCACGCTAGTGTGGTCGGGCCTTAACGTGTGGCCTTGGTACACGCAATCCCACTTTCTGTGCGCGTGTGTGTGGACTCCATCACCCCTCAGCTTTGATTGTAGAGGAAGCTAAGAAGTTCGGTGAACCAATCGCAGGTCTATTTTAGAGCGCAGCTCTTAGGTGCCCGTTTCCGGCTTGAGCGGCGTCGGCGTCGCCGTCGGCGTAACCAAGGTCACCCCAAGGTCACGTAACCCCCCAAGGTCACGTGACCCCCCGAGGTCACGGGACCCCTCCCAAGGTCACCCCAAAATCACGTGACCCCCGGTCACGTGACCCCTCAAGGTGACCACCACGTGACCCCCAAGGTCACATGACCTTCCTCCCCCCGAAGTCACGTGACTTCCTCCCCCGAGATCAGGTGACCCCCTGGAGCATATTAAAGAATGAGGGGAGGAGAAGAAGAAGAAGGAGGAGGAGGAGGAGGGGTCTACCCTCCCCTCAGTACCCTTCCCTCCTTTTCCTCAAGAGCTGCGCTCCAATTCGGCGTTACAGGGAGTTGTCACGGCTTTCACTTTTTTAATCACGTGATCACGCTCTTTTCCGTAACCACGCGCAGAGAGCGGTGCAGGTGATGACTGGTCCGGCCTAGGGTACCTACATGTTTCCGCTCCACTTTAGGGTGGCGCCAACTTCTTGTTAACCTTTTCCAGATCTTCTCCCACCGCCCACTTCTTATTTCGCTAAACGTGAACAACGTTGAGTTTCTGTAGTCACGACACACCGGCAACAATGTGAGGCCAGTTTCGTTTCTGTTCATAAGAGGAGTCGGAGGCTCAGCGGGATGGCGGTGGTCGTGGCTGTCGCTCTCTTTATTCGGATGTTTCATACTTTGAAGTTGCGAGCAGGAAGCGTGCGTTGCTTTTATCAAAACGCGAGTTCCCGCGAAAAACTTGAACGCAACAGACCGGCATTGAACGACGAAACCTCGCCGTCGGAACGAGAGCGGTGAGCGCTCCCTAGCTGTAGCGAGGATTAGCGGCGTAGTCCGAGCACGCGACCGACGAGTGTGACAAAATGGCCGACGAAAGCAGCGGAGGTTGCCATGGTAACGAGGGAGGCAACACTGGTTGGTCGGCAACAGGTATCACAAACGTTGTTGCCACCCTAAACAACGGAGTGGCGGAAACATGTAGGCACCCGGCCGGCACGTAGCTCCCACGGCACTCTCAGCTTAGGAATGCGCGGTGTCCTCATCCCTCAAGGACGCTGAGTCCTCTTCGCTCAGAAAGGATAGATTTAGAGAGATTAGTGACGGCGTGGGGAAAACGGGGGGTTCTTTTATCACTCTCTCTCGCCTTTTCCGAAGCCGTTCCGAGGTCGTCGGCGCCCGACCCTCCCTTGAACACTTCTCTCTCTCAAATTCTTTCGTTTGTTTCTGCTGGTATTTGCTATCCGGGTTTTCAAAAACCAATGTAGTAAGATTGCTTAACATGATAACTCTACAGCAAGAGGAGGAAAAGGAACTGACAGACACGAAGCTCCAAAATCAGCTCGGAGCCTAATGTCAAAATTAGAAAGAGACAATGATAAATCAAATGCGGAAAAAAGGGGCTAGACTCTAAATCAAGACCAACATTGTCGTCTGCCATCAGTGCCTTGGCGCCGTGTAGGAGGCATTAGGCCTCTTATTGTGGCACCAGTAGTGCCGTAAAGTCATAGAGCCGTCATTGTGTAACCACATTTCAGAATAGTGTCTCGTTCGAGTCAATAGCAAAGAGGTGTTTCACCTGACACGAGGTGCAGTCCCCAAGCCCGCAGTTAGTGTACGAAACTTTTCTGTCGAGATCATAGTGAACATAATACTCTATTATGCTGACTCAATAACGTGGACATCGTTTTTCTTTTTTTTTTTTCCAGTTGGCGGTCCTGATGAGCCCATATTGCTCGTGACTCCTTAATGTGCGCAGTGAAGGATCAAAACTTCGCCATTAAGTTCTGTACCTTGTTATTGTCTTGTTTACTTCGCAGAAAAGCACCTGAATCGCGCTTTAAAAAAATAACAATATTTAGAAGCGCTCGAGCAATTTCAACTTGTTGAAGTAAAACGAACACGCCTAAACCAGCCCTTTTCAACATGCTTCCACTATTAAGCCAATGCTATTGTCAGACTAAAACACACTGACCATTATAGGCCAGTGTGTTCTTGAAATGACGATGAGCCAATGGTACCAACAGGACAATAGTAACCATTATAAGCTCTTGTTTACCCAACATTGCCAAGCCAATGCTACAGACAAGCCAACACTATCAATTTTATGCCAGTCCCCATCAAATGTTGGAATGCCAAAGGCACGGACAGGTCAACGTTTATAATTTGATTCCAGTGTTCATCCAATGTTAGCAAGCCAACGGTACTCAAAGGCCAACATTGTCCGGTTTACGCCAGTATTTATCCAATATTCGCAAGCCAATAGAACTGACAGGCCAAGATTGCCCATTTTATACCAGTGTTCATCCAATATTCGCAAGCCAATGGAACTAAGATGCCAACATTGCCCATTTTATGCCAGTGTTCATCCAATATTCGCAAGTCAAAGGAACTGTCAGGCGTTGCGAAAGGCCCCCGGAGACGACCTTGCCGTTCCATACCGACCGGCACAGGTGAACGCCCTGGAGCATCGTCGCCAGGTGGCTACGGTCAGCTGCGCCCGAAGACAGAGCGAGAGGCGCCTTTGAGTCGCCAACGCACCTTGGTTAGTGGGGACGACGTGACCTTCTCCGAGAGATCATCGGGCTGACCCACGCTAGTTTAATGTAGCCGACTTTGCCGTCCGGTCCATCTCCTTAATTGCTTCATCTGTCTGACCTCGAGGCACGGCGACCCGACAGCCTTGGAACGTCCTCGAGGAAGGAGGGGGCTGTACTCAATTTCTCCAGCTTGGATTGCCCTTGGGATTATCCCCTAACACACGGAAGCCAGGACGCCTGCAATTATGGATGTCTTCCGCCTTCCTCGACTTCGATGGCACCATTGTCCGCCGAGATTGACCGGCGACACCGCGGCCAAGGATGTCTGGCCCTTCCGTGTGTGTGTCGCGTGTTGCAGTGCGAGGGAGAGCGAGCTGGCGTGCCTGGACGTTACGAACAATGAACCCTGGGGATTCCCTACTAGGGATGTGGAGAAAGGGGACATTATAAAATGAGCAGCAGGCCGCTGCTAGCGTGTGTTCTCTGGTGTTCTTGACAGTGTTCTCAGGTGTTCTTGAGATGCTGTAACCTGTCCATATGTATATATAAAGAGTTATATCATATAAGAGACACCCCTCCTGCTCCCTGGTCCTTCGTGTTTCCGGCCTCCACATGAGTTCCCGCCCTGGCTCGGCTCCCTGCTGTACCCAGAGTCCCCGGACGACCGCGCTGTCCCAACACAGGGCAACATTGCCCATGTTTTGCCAGTGTTCCTCCAATATTTGCAAGAGAATGGAACTGACAGGCCAAGATTGCCTATTTCATGCCAATGTGCTTCCAATATTGGTTGGTCATTGGAGAATCTGAGCCATCACTGAAGATTCTATATAATGGCATAGACAATATTGGGGGCACATTGGCTAAAGTGGACCATCATTGGACCTTTTTTTTTGCCAATGGTGTTCCACTATTGGCCCAACACCTTGTGCTGCCCGCACACTAAACATCGTAATACCCTTGTGGGTGTAAATGGCTTGTCCTATAACTAACACCCATTTGGGTGTAGCAAAACGCCCTAAACAGAGGGCGTTACTCCTAACGCCCCTAAAATAGGGTGTTTTTCCTTAACACCCTTAAAGGACGGCATTATTCCGAACACCTTTCAATTAGGGTGTGATTCCAATGTACACCTTTTTATTAGGGCGTTATGTCTGCGCAGTACGTCCTCTAAATAGTGTGTATCACCCCCAGGAAGGGAAATAAAAAAGGCGCGATTACCAACACCGATAAAGTAGGGCGTAAAAACTCAAAAGAGTGCACGAAAAAATGACTGCAAATGCCTGGTTCACTTTTTTTATTTTTTAATCAAGGTTCTAACAGGTTCTACAAAATTCTCTATAGACGACTGCGAGCCGGTCATCCGGCCGCAGCCATGTCTCTGTTTATGCGGGCAAGTGCGTGCAATTACAAGCGTGCCAAAGGGCAAAGCTTCGTTCACGCGCACGTCATCAAACTTGGCGAAGGCAAGACTGAAAGAAATAGTTATCTTTTATCATCGCAATTCCACGACGACCAAGACGCTCCTAAACCAGTGGCGGTCCGTGCGTGTAAGGTCATGAATATTTCAACCGGATATTGCTTCATAACCCCTTCAAATTGTACAACCGAAGGCCCTATTTGAACCTCCAACTGTACTTTTCTTGTGACGTTTATGCCTTCTTGCGCTGGTGACGTGGACAAAACTGGCAGGCTTGCAAAGACGGTACGACCGGGAGTTGCTTGGGACGTAAGCGGCAGTTCATGTTTGTAAACCGTAAAATGGTCTATTGAAACGGAAGCAGGGGGGCTATGTTCGACAAATGTTTCGTTACTCCTAAAATAAACGGAAGTGACGGAAGTGACGATATCGCGTTTGATTGGTTAGAGGTTGAAATGACGAAAGTTACCTATTTTCGCCATTTGACCTTCCAAGCAATCAAACGCGATA